GATATCGAGGATCATCTCCTGGGCCAAAAGTATGTTATCACTAATGACCCGATCCTCGATGCAACCACTCTGGTTCGGAGAGATGAGGAAGGGGAGAATAGGGGAAAGACGACTGTTAAGAATCTTAGAAATGAGCTTGTTGGTCACGTTACACAGGCTGATGGGCGTATAGTCGCACTAAGAGCTCAGATTGGGTCTTTTGGGAATCAAGACGACAGAGGTAGACATGAAGAAATCCGGCATCATGTGACCGGAGAAAAAATCCAACATTGCCTCCTCAACGTCAGGCTCGACAATATCCCAGCAGATCTGATAGAAGAGAAAAGAGAACCCATCGGGGCCAGTAATGCTGTTGGGATCAATCCCGAAGACAGCATCCCTAACCTCCTCCCTACTCGGGAGCTCACAAATGCCGACAAGATCGACCGAAGGAGGAATAGGGGAAAGAAGAAAGCGTTCGGGGGAACGAGGGCCCCTCTGTCAGAAGGTAAAGAGGGTCTAGAAGTGAGCAACAGCCGACTCCCGAATCTAAGACTAATGGGTCAGGGAATGACCCATCAGCCTCAATACTATGGATGTACGACTTAGCACGCTTCTGCTTAACAAAGCCCTGGAAGAACCTAGTGTTTCGCTCGCCCTCGGCCACCTAGCGAACTGCCGCGTTCTACTTCCAGAAATCCTCCTTCATAAGGAGTCGGAGCTGGTACTCGGCATGGCAGCGGCGCATCGCAGTCCTATTCTCCGGAGTGGGATCTAGATCATAGGCCCGCTCAGTCTCCGCGTTCGCACTCTGAGCCGCAGAAAGGCGCTGATGGAGGTTTTCAAAAACATCCCTATTCCACTGTCTCAACCTATGCCGCAGTCTTCCGAGCTTCACCTTGAGATTGCGCATCCCGAAGAGCCCAGTCGGCTGAAACCAGGAGTCCCTGACAATGTCGTTGAAGGAGTGGTGGTGAACCCACATGTTCTGGAACCTAAATGAAGAGCGGTGGGGGGTTCTCAAAAATCGACACCTAATGAGGAGGGGTGAATGGTCAGACCCAAATCGAGTGAGGTGTGTGACGGTTGTGACCGCAAACACCTTCGACCACGCCTCAGAAACCAAGGCACGGTCGAGCCTCTCTTTGAGGTCGTCTATAACCCACGTGAAGGGCTCAACCTCACATCCAACATCAATCAACTCACAATCCGCCACAGCTTGGGCAAAATCCCACATCTCCCGAGAATGATCCGAACAGCCACCCACACGCTCATCGAAGTACAGAAAGATGTTGAAATCGCCACTAACCATACATGGCAATCCCTCCATACTCTCCGCAATCTCACGCAGGGTGTCCCAGAGGTCATATCGCCCGACCCTATTACACTTGGCATAAACCAAGGTGTGGAATATAGGCTCGGGGAGGTGGGCAGTAGAAAGCTTGACATGAAGCACCTAATCAGTATCCCGGAGGACCCTACAGGTATAATCACGCGAGTGGAAAAAACAGATCTTATGTGAAATGTTACCCACGCCCGAGTGGAAGCCAAGGCGGCGTGAATAGTAGTCAAAATCAGGGTGCGAATCATTGGCTCAATAAAGCGAACAAAGTTAAGTCTATGATCACGAATGTGAGAATGAAGATGAGCGAGAGTGGCCCTATTAGCCAGGTCCCGACCATTCTAAGTTATGGATATGATAGACATATCAACGGTCGCAAGAGCCACCTGAGCAGTTCTCTCGGGGCTTGAAAAGAAGCTTGCTGATCAACGTAGGTACTATAAGGAAGTGCTGGGTGCAATGGAGTCACGGGCTCCTTTAATATCTAAATCGAAAAAGGAGGAGATCAAGATCGCTGGAAAGGGTGACAAGAAGAAAGTACCTACTGGGACTAAGGGGAAGAAGCCTAAGGAGAAGTCTAAGGTTGCTACTGCCATGGCCAAGGGAAAGGAGAAAGTTTGTGTTGTTGCTGCAACAGAAAATGAGAAGGCTCCTGAGTCCGAAGAAGGTTCGGGTGCTGAAGATGATGAGGAAGGTTCTGATGCTAAAACTGAAGAAGAAGATGGGTCTTTAGAAGAAGACACTGAAGCTGGTTCTGAAGAAGGTTCTGTCAAGGAGACTAGGGATGAAGGGTAGGCTAAGACCTTTCGGCTGGACATTTGACTGTGTTTTTATTTGAAACTATTTGATATGCGTTGTTTTTATTTTCTTTCAGCTTGCGTGTGATGAACTTTTTTTTTAATATCTTGTGAACTATTTTGCTTTTGAATTATTCAGGTATTCGAGTTGTTCATATGAACAACGCTTATATGATAAGTATATCTTGGATATGTATAGATTGCATGAAATGTTCTTTTGTATGCAGTTTCAAAGGATGTGTTTTCGATTTATCTGCCAAAGGGAGAGATTGTAAGTTTTGAACATTGATAGTAAATAGAAGAACATTCTTCAGTTCCAAGGATTCAGCCAAACGCAAGGATAATTAAGGGAAGTTAACTTGAGTGCTTGAATATATTTTTAATTGGGATTGTTATTTAATAATGTGTGTTTATTATAGCAAGTCTAAAAAAAGACAGGCGGGATTTTCTTTTCGTATATGCTAGATGATTTCGTACTTGGACGTAAGAATAAAAGATCTACCATACTTGGATGTAACTTGGAGGCAAATCTAGAGGAAGACTTACCATACGGAGATAGAAGATAAAAGAAGGATTGAACGCATAGTGAAGGATACTTTTGATCTTTGATTTATTTTGGGGAGAAAAATTGGAGATTGTATTTTGCTGTTCATCTTTGGTGATTTTGTTTTTCATTTTTGTGAGTTGAGTGAAGTGATCGAAACTTTATTATTTTATTGTGAGAGATATAACAAGTGAATGGAGGTTCATTTTGGTAGAGTTTGAGGGATTCAAACCAGAAAAACCACAAGGGATTTGTGGTCGGATAAGTAGTAGTGCAGGTCATTGTTCAAGTACAGTGTAAAGGGAGTCTATATTGTAAACCCTTGAAGAATGTTTGGGATATTTGCATTGATGAAAGAGATCCGAAGGGAGAGTGGAACGCACTCTTGAAGGTTCAATTTTCAGGGATACTGCTTCCGCAATTATTTGAATCTTGTTTGTATTCTGCTTGATTGAATTGTATGCAACTCTGTATACTTAGTGTACAAGTATCAAATTTCATTCTTAATATTATCTATATAATTAAACATTATAAACCAATATTCCTTACATATCACATCAACTTTAATTCATTATTCATCCACTCGCATAATTTTAACTACTTATCATTTCCAATCATTAATCTCATATTTTTACATCATATCAATAATAATTATTTTATATTGAATTTTATTTTATTGCATTATTAAAATCCTGCTAACAACTAACCATAACATATTTTTTCAAATTTAACTCTAGTTAATTCAAATAGCTCATTTTGAACAAATTATTTCATAAACAAGTATGTCTTAGCTTTGAGTAATGGCTACTTACAAGATTTCATATAAAAAAATTGATGTGGATGTAACATTTAAAAAATATTCTTATTTTAATATATTTAAAAGTTCAATTATTGTCCATAAACATTCAAATATGATTACTTTTTATAAACTTTTATAATTTTGAAAAATATTCACAACAAAATATTAATTTTAAAGTTGGTACACATGGATGTGATGTGACATTTAAAAAGTATTCTTATTTTAATATATTTTAAAGTTAACTTATTGTCCATAAACATTCAAAAATGATTACATTTAAAAAGTATTCTTATTTTAATATATTTTAAAGTTAACTTATTGTCCATAAACATTCAAATATCATTACTTTTTATAAACTCTTATAATTGTGAGATTAATACTTTTTAAATATTCTCAACAAAAAAATATTTTTAGAATTAGTCCACGAAGAGTATTTTAACACTATAATAGGGCATAAACTTAAGCTAGAGAACACATCAAAAGAATGTTTGCGATATTTGCAATAATGAAAGAGATCCGAAGAGAGAGTAGAACGCTTTCCTGAAGGTTCAATTTGCGATATTCTGTTTGATTGAATTGTATGCGACTCTGGATACTTAATGTACAAGTATCAAACTTCATTCTTAATATTATTTATATAATTAAATATTATAAACCAATATTCCTTACATATTACATCAACTTTAATTCATTATTCATCTACTCGCATAATTTTAACTACTTATCATTTCCAATCATTTATCTCCTACTTTTACATCAAATCAATAATAATTATTTATTTAAAATATTATTTTATTACATTATTAAAATCCTACTAACAACTAACCATAACATATTTTTTTTTCAAATTTAACTCTAGTTAATTCAAATAGCTCATTTTGAGTAAATTACTTCATAAACAAGCATGCCTTAGCTTTGAGTCATGGCTACTTTCAAGATTTCCTATAAGACAAATGGATGTGGATGTGACATTTAAAAAGCTTATTTTAATATATTTAAAAGTTAACTTATTGTCCATAAAGATTCAAATATGATTACTTTTTATAAACTTTTATAATTTTGAAAAATATTCACAACAAAATATCAATTTTAGAATTGGTACACATGGATGTGATGTGACATTTAAAAAGTATGCTTATTTTAATATATTTTAAAGTTAACTTATTGTCCATAAACATTCAAATGATTACATTTAAAAAGTATTCTTATTTTAATATATTTTAAATTTAACTTATTGTCCATAAACATTCAAATATGATTACTTTTTATAAACTCTTATAATTATGAGATTAATACTTTTGAAATATTCACAACAAAATATTATTTTTAGAATTAGTCCACAAAGAGTATTTTAACACTATAAAAGGGCATAAACTTAAGCTAGAGAACACATCAAAATATTGTAGTAAATTGTGGTCTGAGGGAATCATGGGAGGCTTTTACTTTTATATTGGTTTCAGTCTTTATTTAATTGTTACATTTCTTGTTAATGCGTCTTCTAAACTAGAAGATGTTACAAAATCTGTTTATATTGTGTACATGGGAGCAACACATTCGTCGAAAGGTGTTCGAAGAGCTGATCACGTCGAACTTTTGCAAACACTCGAAAAAAGGTCAATTTGAATAATTTTGTTCTACTTCCTATATATTTCAGTATAAATAGTAAATAACAGAAATAGTAATTAATTTTCAGGAGCTTTGGTTCTGTTTTACGTACCTACAACAAGAGTTTTTTGGGATTCGCAGCACTTTTGTCAAAGGAAGAAGCTAGATCAATGGAAGGAAGTCGTGGAGTGGTGTCTGTTTTTCCAGACTCAGTTTTACAACTCCACACGACTCGTTCTTGGGATTTTTTGTGGAAGCAAGATGCTTTAAGAATTATCAATAAAACAACGACTACTACTACCACATTATCTCCTCCTTCTTATACATCAAATTGTTCATCCAAAAATGACGACACTATCATTGGGATCTTAGATTTAGGTGAGCTAGCTAGCTAGTTGGATATGTATACGTACTGTTTTACAATACTTTCTTTTCAGACAAGGATTGGTTATGATATAATTTGATCATGTGGTAGCCTTCAAGTTCATGTATAAATATGTTGAAACAGGAATTTGGCCTGAAGCTCCTAGTTTCAGGGCCACTCGAAACATGCGTCATATCCCAAAGCGTTGGAAAGGAGAATGCAAGGGAGGACTAAATTTTACTTGCAACGGGTAAAGGACATAGAGATTTTAGGTATAACATAAATATTTAACGGTATACGTAATCGTGTTTAATTAGATTTTGGTTTTGTGTCGTTTGCGAATAATGTTATTAAAATAGGAAATTGATTGGAGTAAGGTACTATGAGAATAAAAACGCTCCAGGAGATACCACATCAGGTAGGGACGAGTACGGCCACGGAACACACACTGCATCAACTGCGGCCGGTATGCCCGTCGGTGGAGCATCATACTATGGGTTGGCCGAGGGGACCGCAAGAGGTGGATCCCCAAGTGCAAGAATCGCAATGTATCGTGTTTGCGGAACTAATTATTGTTCAATATCAAAATTCCTCAAAGCAATTGACGACGCAATTGATGATGGGGTCAATGTGTTATCCATATCATTAAGCTCGGATGAAGAAAATTTTCTCACTAATCCAATTATTCTTGGAGCCTTCCATGCTGTGCTTAGAGGGATCACCGTTGTGTGCTCCACGGGGAACGGCGGCCCTGATGGTGGTACGGTTTTCAATTATGCCCCTTGGATATTAACTGTTGGTGCAACCACTATCGATCGCGAATTCGAGGTCGATATTGTATTGGATGGGAGAACAGTGATTAAGGTAAAGAATTGAATAAACACAGGAAATAGAAAAATATAATTGTATTGGTACATATATTATGATGATTATTCAAACTATATATTATATATAGGGTGGAGGCATAAACTTTTCCGGCCTCAGTAAAACTGCCATTTATCCTTTAATATATGGAGCAAGTGCAGCTTCCAACCACCATAATCCACACAATGCAAGGTAGTAATATAAGGGTTCTAAACATTAATAACCCATATATACGATGAATGAAGCTACGTACGTACGTACTTTCAATTTGGCTTACATATTTAAAGAGTTATCCTAATATATGAGGATCATTTGGTATTATGCAATTGGCGTCTTTCCAGCCATTGTTACCCAGGTTCATTAGATCCCCGCCAAGTGAAGGGAAAAATACTTTTATGCATACATGACGACGACGACGACTATCGACCAACAGAAAAGTTCGAGTCACTAAAAACACAAGGTGGCGTTGGTATTATAATGATTAATGACGATTATCGCCAAGAGCCGCTTTCTCTTAGAACTTATGCAATTGTCTTTGTGAGCAAAGAAGATGGAGCTCAAATACGAACTTATATCAACTCAAACAGGTTTAAAATTAGCAGAAAAAAAAAAATTAAAACTACGAGAATTTAGTAATAGTAATAATAGTTTTAATAAATAATAATAATGTATATATATATATATTTACTATAAAATGTCGTGGCTAATTTGAAAGGAAAGCACTGGCGACAATTTTACCGACGGCAACCATCCTGAATACCAAACCAGCACCTGTTGTTGCAATATTTTCTGCAAGAGGCCCACCACCTGGCATTCCAAATCTTATCAAGGTACGTACATACGTAGCTGCAGTTTTCTTCATCATAA